GCAGGTAGGTGAAGTTTATCATGGCTGGTGTTATGATAAACACAGGTATATGTTGTTTTATTGCACTTCACAGGTACTGCATTTTTTTTACAAATTGAAGGTCTGTGGTAACTCTGCACGAAGCAAGTCTATTAGCGCCATTTTTCTAACAGCATTTTCTCACTTTGTGTCTACGTCACATTCTTGCAATTCTCAAAATATTTCAAACCTTTCACCTCTAAAAAGATTACAACTCACTGAAGGCTCAGATGGTGGTTATCATTTTTTGGCAATAAAGTATTTCTTCATTAAGGTTGTTTTTGGACATAACACTATTAAACACTTTAATAGACTATCATATATGACTACAGTATGACTTTAAAAAAAAAATATTTATTTACTTGGCTGCACTGGCACTTAGTTGTGGCACACAGGCTCTTCAGTTGCAACATGTGAACCCTCAGCTGCAGCACGTGGGATCTAGTTCCCCAACCAGGGATCGAACCTGACCCCCCTGGGTTGGGAGCATAGAGTCTTAGCAACTGGACCACCAGGGAAGTCCCAGTGTATGACTTTTATATACACTGGGAAACCAAAAAATTCATGTGACTCACTTTGGGCGGTATCTGCTTTGTTGTGGTAGCCTGGAACTGAACCCATGTCTCCAAGGTATGCCTATGCTACAGACATTGTCAGAGCGAGTGTTCTCCCTTGAGAGTTAAAGATGGACAGCATTTAGAATACTGGCAAGAAATGAAGCTGGAAAGCCTATTTGGCCTACTGTGACTAAAAGTATTTAAAAAAAAAAAAAGGTTACATGACTAGATGCCTAAATGCTGTGCAATCAGCAATAAAAATTCTTATTTTGTACATAACTCACTTTATGACATACTATTAAGTTCAGATTATCCTTTCATTGGCTTTAAACAAATCATGATGACTCAAGTTGCTTTAAGTAAAAGAAAAAACTGTATCTATTTTTGTAAAACAAATAATTTTTATTCACACTAAATCCATGGGATTTGTAAAAATCCCAGTGGCATCTATTCAAAGGGGCCTCTAATGGCAGAGGGCATTACATTGTTGATTTTACACAAGCTAATGTGGCTGTCTTAAGTGCTCACACACACAGACACCAGTCCCTCTCTGTGGGTAGTAGCCATTTAGACTCCGAAGTAAGAAAGCTGGTTCCATTTACTTGACGACCTGTGGGGAGAGCAGGCGACTGGCTGAAGAAGGCTTTTATGGGCTGATTCATTCCCTCACAAACACCCGGAGTTGAGTGCCTGCGTGGGGTGGGGTGGGGGGAACTGGATCTCAGTGCCAAGACGGCATCAATGTAACTCACCATGGAAAAAGCGAAAAAAACTTTTGTAATATCTTTTCCACATTTTGCCTGTTGAAATCTGTGTCATCCTTCAAGCTCATGGCCAAATGCCCCCCTTTACAAAAAAGCCATTCTTGACCCTCCGTCTCTTAAATCTCAACCCGTGTGAATGAACCAACCAACCCTCTCTGGTGCTCCTAATACTCTTTGATCAGACTTCACTGTTTATAATATTGTAGCACGGTCATCTATTTACATTGTCACATGAATTATGCACCGTGTCCATCTAAAAACACCCAGTAACACAAAGCAAGATAAGTGCTAAACCTCAACTAGGTGCTGAAGATAACCAGATGAACAAAAAGTAGGCTTCTGGAAAAAGCCTATGGCTCAGTGGGGAAGTCAGAAAGACAATACATACATGTCAGCAAACACAGCCTGTGCCATATAATAGTGACAAGTACAAAGTAGGCTAATAGTATGGAAAGGAGGGAGAAACCAGAGATGGCACCACAGAGAGCAATGCCTAGTGGGCACCTTGTAGGATGAGGAGTACACAGCAGGCAGGGAGAAAAGCAAGGTTCAGTTAAGAAGACATGAAATATGGGTATAAAGTTTTAGTTGTACCAGATGAAAAAGTTCTAGAGATCCGCTCTGTTCATAGTTAACAATACTGTACTGTATCCTTGGACTGCAAGATCAAACCAGTCAATCCTAAAGGAAATCAACCCTGAATAATCATTGGAAGGACTGATACTGAAGCTGAAGCTCCAATACTTTGGCCACCTGGTGTAAAGAGCTGAATTACTAGAAAAGACCCTGATGCTGGGAAAGATTGAAGGCAAAAGGAGAGGGGGCAGCAGGGGATGAGATGGTTAGATAGCATCACCAACTCAATGGATATGAATTTGAGTAAACTCCAGGAGACAGCAGAGGACAGAGCAGTCATGGGGTTGCAAAGAGTTGGACATGACTTAGCGACTAAACAACAACTGCACACTTAAAAAGTTGTTAAGAGGGTGAATCTCACGTCATGTATTTTTTACAGTTAAGACAATAAAAGGAAGGCATGAAACAACATGGCAGATCTGGCAACTTGCAGGGAGACCACTGCTGCTGCTGTTGATGAGGGGAAAATAGGGAAAGAAAGGAGAAGCTGGAGAACAGGTCAGCAGCTAGATCAGAATGGACGTCATGACCTAGGTTTGTAGGCAATGAGGACTGCAGGGAAACAGGATCACAGGTGCCTTTTGGTGGCAGCATGGGAGACAGATGGATTAACAGGGATAAACATGGAAGTTGGTAAAGTCTGATGCAATCCAGATGAGACCAAAAGGCCTGGGCTAGGGAAATGGTACTGCCTTCTAAAACACTGAGCGCTATCTGGAGTCATTTGGTTAATTCATTTGTTTACTTTCCCACCAAAATATAAACTCCAAGGGACTATGCCTTGCTCACAGCTATACTTCCCGTCCTAGATCAGAGCCATGTATGCAGCAGGTGCTCAGCAAACACCTGCTAAATCAATGAAGTGAAGCCACTGCACAAGTCCTTGAACTTTCAGAGTTGTATGTCAGCTACCTGATAAGAGGGACTCTTCCCACAGTATGCTGGCTTCAGAAAAGTGTTCTGTACCTCCGAGAAACAGGCTAACTCACGCATGTGTCCCTCAGCACTTTCAGAAGAATGTTGTACATAAAGAAAGGATGCACAAAAACAGATGCTGATTTATTTTTTTAAAGGCACATGTCCTGGACTTTTCCAAATAATAACATTGAATTTTCTTGGTGAAAACTCCAAAGACAGAATGCCTCTAACCATCAGCTTTGCACACCCCACCTGGATATCGAGCAATCCAGCTGGGCCCTTTCTGCTTCATAAATCACTGCTGGCAACAAAGCCTCAGCAATTAGAGCTCAGCTGCTGGCTGCGCTGACAGTGGCTGGGACAGCCAGTGACACAGTGTGGCTCGCCTATGTTTGCCCGACAGCATCAATGCACATCGCAAGGGCAGTGTGCATTCCCGTGGGCCACAGCCGCTGCCAGAGGCAGGTTAGCAGGCTGCGGCCTCCTGCTGCTCTGCAACCCACAATCCAGTAACTGTGGGGCAGATTTCCCCTGCAGAGGAAGAATAAAGGGATTTAATTTCTCTGTTACATCAAAAACCAATAAGAGGGCAATTTTATAACTTGAATGAAGTGGAATATGCCAGGCTCAAACCATCAGCTTGCCTGCCTCATCCCTCATCTGCACACGTCCTTCAACTTCCGGAGTTTTATCACAGCTGCTTGATCACAGGGCCTCTTCCAACGGCATTCTGATTTTAGAAGAGCGTTCTTTACCTCTGAGCAACAGGCCCCTGATGGTGTCACCACTAATGCCGACCAAGACTCTTTCCAGAGGGAGCGACACTCCCTCTGGGGCATAAGCACAGGCCTGAAATCAAGACTCGGGCCTAGGTACAAATCCTGACTCTGCCACTTACCAGTTGTGTGACCTTATGTGAATGATTTAACCTTTTTGAGTCTCAGTGTTCTCATCTGTAAAATGGGAATAATCCTCCCTGTCTTACGGTGCTCCAGAGAGATTAAATGAGGGAACCCACATAAACAGATAAGCATGGTGCCCATTAAATGTCAATAGGCATCTCATGACTTGACTGTTCATTCCTTCTCTTACCATGCGTGGGAGTGGGAGATGAGTGACTGGCCCCTTTTTAAGGAGTAGGCCTATGGGGGTCTCCCACACAGGGAGAAGAAAGCAATCCTGGAACAGAAAGTATGGAAACTGACAGCCTGCAGCTCTGCCTCTTCTACACTTGAGAAAGTTATAAAACGTGAGTGACAGAGGCTGTCCCAAGAACATAAAGGGAGCTAATCTGTTTGCAAAGGGAGGAAATAGCGCAGGATGAAGATTGTAAGTTGTCTGAAGCTTCTTCCCTAATTACCACTCATAATGAAAATTTAATTGCTGAGTTAAAAGCAAATTTCACTTTTTTCTATCAGAGGATCTCTGCAGAAACTGGCACATTTTGTTTGAACAGGAAATCAAAGTTACTTTCGTGCTTAAATGAGATCTAAGCAGTTGCAGATGTTTCCTTGGGAATAACTAGCTTCCAAACTCTGTCCTACTGGGTTGTGGCAACTCACAGCTCTAGGCCAAGAGAAAGAAAAACTGTTTTGCGTGCAGTTGCTCGAGGGGTGGGACTGATTCAACTTCCAAGTGCCCCACTGCTAGGCATGTTGGGGTGAGGCAGGGAGAAGAGAGTACAGAAAGAGGGCCTATGGCATTAAGGAGCTTATAACTGAGTAGGAGAAAGAGAACCAGGGAATAGTCTATGATTAGGAAATTGAAATGAAGAAAGCTTGGCTCAGGAAAGCATTGTTGTTCATCGCCAAGTCGTGTCCAACTCTTTTGTGACCCCTTGGACCATAGCCCGCCAGGCTCCTCTGTCTATGGATTTCCCAGGCAAGAATATTGGAGTGGGTTGCCATTTCCTTCTCTGGGGGATCTTCCCAAACCAGGGATCAAACCTGCGTCTCCTGCATTGGCAGGCAGATTCTTTACCACTAAGGCCCTGGGGAAGCCCCAAGGAAAGAACAGCAAGAGACAAAAATGTAAGCCTCTATGAGTGCTTTCACACACCTTGGCCTTCATTCTGACCCACTTGGGTGTCAGCCAGAAGCCCACTCACCTGTAAGGTGCTGGTGAGGAAGTTGTCCTGGGAGACAATGTCCACAAAGAAGTCGGCGGGGATCTCGCCAAGCTGGTGGTACAGGATGGAGATGAGGTTGATGTAGAGGGTGTGGTGCTTCACCATGGCCTCTTCTGACCGGCACAGAAGGTTCAGGAGCCGCTTCCAGTGCTCGAAGGCCTCATACACATTCCCCAGCAGGAAGCACACGAAAGCAAACTGGAGCTCACCTGAAAGGTGCAGAGAGGAGAGATGAACCTGAGGGAGAGGAGTGCTGGCTGACTTGACTAAGCCATCAGAGCCACTGGACCTCAGCCAGAAGCGGCTGTCTAGCCTTGTCACTCCTCCAGAACCTGGCATGGGGTTTTGCACCTAGCAGCTGCTCAATAAACATTTGCTGAACTGCTATATAAACTCAAGCCGTGAGAGACCCAACTGGTTTTGGATTTCTGTAAGATCAGACTGCAAGAGAAGAGGCACACCGAGTATTTACCTAGCATTTAACAAGTTGACAAGATGGGTCTGTGGACATTACGCCAAGCAGATCCTCAAACTGGCTGCCCATCTGAATTACTAGGAGAACTTGAGAAAAATAAAGCTGTCCGAGCCTCACTGTGAGAGATCCTGGTTGAGGACAGATGATGGAGCCTTAGTATCTGTAGCTCTGACAAGCTTCCCAGGTGAGTCTGATGCAGATGGTCTGCTTCAGGGGCAGGGAAAGGCTGTATAACACCACGTAACCCTCAGCCCAACTCCATAAGGTGGTCAGGGAAGGTGGTATTTGCCTCAGTGTATAGATGAGGTCAAGAGACTTGCCCAAGGTCACACATCTAATGCTTAGCAACTGAACAACAGAAAGATAAAACAGATTTCTATTGGGTGGGAATAGTTCTAGGGCCTTCTAGAACAGGAAAATTCATGAGTACTTGTTTCAGGGTGAGCTTGCCAGCCAAATTATTTTTGTTTGTTTAATCATAGGGCTCTATGATTTGCTTGCTATGAGCAGCTTGTGGCTAACAGCATGGGCTCTGGAGCCAAACTGCCTGGGTTCAAATCTCAGCTCCACCACTTCCCAGGTGTGTGACCTTGGGCAAGCTACTTAATCTGTTTATGCTTCAGTTTCCTTATTTGAGGGATGCAGTAGAGATTAACTGAATTGATACAGTATTGCGTTGGCCACAAAATTCATTCCAGGGTTTCCATAACATCGTACGGAAAAACCCGAACGAACTTTTGGGCCAGCCCAATACATATAAAGCATTTAGCGTAACGCTTGGCACAGAATAGCACTCCAGAAACCTCAGTTATTATTCCCACATTCCCAGCAGATCCTTCTCAAAGAGACCCGACAATCCAGAAGCCACTATCCCTGGGCGAGCAGCTGGGTCTCCGGGTGCCAAGACATACTGCTGCTGATCAGACGTGTTCTCTCTGGCTTCAAATTTAAGGGGGGCTTCTGTGGTCTATCTACACATGGGTCATAAAAAGAAGAGATGTGGGACATCCCTGGCGGTCCAGTGGTTAAGACTCTGCCTTCCACAGCAGGAGGGGCAGGTTTGATCCCTGGTTAGGGAACTGTAAGGTCCCACATGCTGTGGAGTGTGGCCAAAATTAACAACAACAACAAAAAAGATGTACTCAACACTAAACATGTGTTTAAACACATGGTGTCCAATTTCTGTCACTCCTGGAGATCTGGAAAAACTAGTTCTCTGTTCCTAGGTTTGTGGAACTAAGTGATTTGAGCAGATAGCTACGGGGTCTAGACATTTTGGACATCTGATCAATATTTTCAAAATATAGTCAAGTTTCTTTTGTATGACAGAGGTTAATGATTTGCTTCTTCAGTTGGCTTTACCTGGTTAGTTTGTGGAAATACGAGCTTATTCTCTGAATTTAGGGCATTCATTTAAATTTATACATTTCTGGCTTAGTCTAAAATTAAATTGAGATGAGAAATAATTTCAAAGAACTGTCATAAAGATACAGTGATCCTTGCAACAGACCTTTTCACAAGATTACTTTGAAGAACTGAAATGTTTAAGAGGTAGAAAACAGGATTTCTGTTCATTTTGAAGCCAGGATTTCAAGTGTTACTTATGAAATGAAAATAGATACAACCCCTTAAAAAGTCCCTTTTTATCAGCTGAGCCTATTATATAAAAGGCCCTATATTCAAAATTCTCACTGATCTTCCAATAGAAAAATATGCAAATATTAGACACCTTGTAAAAGAAAAAATATTAATAGCTAATAAAGATGTGACAAATGTTTGCTGTCACTAGTAATCAAAGAAATATAAACTGAAACAGGAAGTCATTCTTCAACTATCCAGTCAGAAGAGGACTTTGCTAAATCACCATGTCAAATGCCATGTCAAAGGTGATGGGCCACAACCTCATCAGCTAGCAAAGATGCCTGACCTTCTCCTGGCAGGATGCACACTCTGATCTAACAATTCCAACCCAAAACTATGCAGAAGGGCACACCAGGAGACTCATTAGACAGCATTTACAATAAGGAAACCAGGAACATCTTAAAAGATGCATTAACAGGGGTTGGTCCAATAACTATGAAAGTTCAGTAGCCACTAAAGAGAAGTGACCATTTCAGTGACATGGAATAATATTTATATTAAAGCAAATTATAGGATAATATACTGTAATCCTGTTTTTGTAAAAATATCATATATACATAAACATATAATTGAATAAAAAGACTAAAAGGAAACAGAAACATATTAAACAGAAATACATACAAATATGTACCTTAAAAATGTGTATCTTAAAAATATTGTGTATGATTTAACTCCTTTTAAATTGTCACGGTTTAAGACCCAGAATATGGTCATACTTGTTTATGTTCTGTAAGGATATGAAATGAATGTATACACTGAGTTTGTTGGGTGGGATGTTCTATAAATATCAATTAGATCCTATTTGCTGATGCTGTTGTTGAATTTCTATAAATATTTGCTGATTTTCAATCTAACTGTCCAATCAATTTTTGAGTTTAGTGTTGAAGACTTAAACTATTGTGGGTCCACCTATTTCACCTTTCAATTCTATCAAGTTTTCATTCACATATTTTGCAATTCTGTTGTCTGTTGCACACAAACTTAGAATAGCTATGTCTTCTTTGTGGATTGGCGCTTATGTCCTTCTGTGTTTCTAGTTAAAAAAAAAAAAGTACAACAAAGTGAACAAAGATGGCTATTTCCAGGTGATGGGATTTGGACTTTCGTTTTTGTTTTCCTTTAAGGATAAATATATGTTATTTTTTTGTCATAAGTTGGGGAAAACAACAATAAAGACTAAAACAGTTAAAAGAAAATCACTGTTCTGGTTGAAGCCTCCAGAGAGTCAACAGTAAACTGACGGGGCAGGTGGATGGCTCCCAGGAACACGGATGGGCCCGGGAACTGGGAGCCCTGGGCTCTGGTCTCACGTTGACTACACCACTTAGCAGTGAAATCCCTTCCCTCTATGGACCTCAGTCTGTAAAATGGAGTGGTGGGCAGGCGAGGCCATACCATGGGTTCCCCAATACGGGACTGTCTGCATCAGGTTCACCTACAGCGCTTGTCTGTCAGGCAGACAGACAGCTAAAATGCTGGGGACCGACTCCAGATGTCCTGAATCAGTCTGCAGGGGTAAGGCCTGGGAATCTGTATATATAAACTATATATATATATAGTTTACTTATCTGGCGCATCAGGCCGCAGTTGTGTCACGCAGGATTTCTCGTTGCGGTGCACAGGGCCAGTAGCTGCAGTGTGGGCTTAGCTGCTCTGCAGCCTGTTGGATCTCAGTACCATGAGCAGGGATGGACCCCAAGTCCCCTGCATGGCAGGGGAGATTCTGAACCACTGGACCACTAGGGACATCCCTGGGAATCTGTTCCTTTAACAAGCATTCTGGGTAAGACCCCCTCCTAGCCAGGTTTAGGAACCACTAGACTAAATAATCGAAGAGGGACTCCCTCTTCTCAAGCCCCTTGGCTACATACCCCTCCCCTGGCCCACTCTCAAAGCCTTGTTCCTCCTCACCGAGCACGTCCTGGGGGCTGCAGGGGAACTGCTTGCTGAGCACCGTCTCCAGGGCGTAACTCAGGTCCATGCTGTGCCTGGTTATCTCAGCCGGTGTGGCGCCCGCCGGGAACATCTGTGTGGGCAGCTCAGAGAAGCGGATCTCTGTGCCCGCCCTGGGCCTCATCTCGGGCAGCCGGGCCAGGCCCTCCTGGTAGCTCCTGCACTCGATGCCGCAGCGGGGGAGGTTCTGCCCCACCCGGTCCTTGGTGTGCTTCATGGAGAGCACGGGCAGCACCTCTGAGAAGGCACAGATCTGCCGACTCTCGGGCTGCAGCTTCTCCACGGTGGCCTCACTGATGAAGCTGGTGAGGGAGATCCACTTCTTGAGCGTGGCATAGGGGTAAGGTCCCAGGAACTGGTCCAGCTCCTGGAGGTTGGCCCTCATGGCCTCCACCTCAGCCTCTGGGGCTGGGGACAGGTCGACCTCTTCCCGGGCCGCATCCCAGCGTAGGACCTTCAGCCCCTGCTGCTGCAGGTTAAGGAAGAAGCCCATGCGAGGGCCCACCTCCCTGGGATTGGCCTTGTCCACAGAGCTGTAGTGGAGGAAGTGGATGCCCGGCGGGATCATCTTCACGCCCCGGAACTTGGGCCCCACTTCCCAGGAGTTGTAGTCAATGCCAAACTCTGTCCCCTTGGGCATATTCAGGATGACCACGGTGGCCCCTTCAAAGAAGAGGCGCCTGGCAAGCTCAGGATCCATCTGCATGGCAGCCATGGGGCCAGGGGTGAGTGATCAAAAAGAAAACTGTTCTATTCTGCTGAAAAAGAAAGAAGTGAGAGTTAATCAGAACCTTGGGAAGCATTCTTCATTTGCTGAGCATTCTCTATGTGCCAGATACTGAATTAGACCCCTGAAATAACTCAGTTCAGTCGCTCAGTTGTGCCCGACTCTGCAACCCCATGGACTGCAGCACGCTAGGCTTCCCTGTTCATCACCAACTCTGGAGCTTACTCTCATGTCTATCGAGTCAGTGATGCCATCCAACCATCTCATCCTCTGTAATCCCTTTCCCCTCCTGACTTCAGTCTTTCCCAGCATCAGGGTCTTCTCTAATGACATAATTTTCTACCTTAATTTTCACCGCAGGTGAAGAAAACATTACTCAAAGAGAAGAGGAGTTTTGTTTCTGAGTTTAATGAGCAAGAACACTCACTTCACAGCTGGAAAGACATCAGTTAAAGAAAAGAGACGTATTCAAGATCACACAAGGACCCAGTTAGGGCCTGGGTACCTGGCCCTCCAGGCCAGTGTTCTTCCCACTGTGCACTTCGACGCTCCTTCAGATCTCCTTCAGATCTGGGCACTCTTCAGATCTCCTTCTCATACAAGAGGATGAAGGCAGAGAGCACCTGGCTGGTCCACTCTAAAGGATTACTGTGCCTCAACTGTCTTAAACTATAATTCTGTCTAAAACCTAGAAGATTCGAGAAGCATCCACCCAGTTTCCCATAAGCCTCAGCGAAGGCCCAGAAATGGACAGAAGGTGGAAATGCGGTGCTTAGCATCTAAAATTTACAAAAGGTTTGGGCAGTGGAGAGCGTTTCAACCACAACCCTCTTCTCTTACATATATATATAAATATGTATTATATATATACATATATATAATACGTATTATATATACATATATAAAGAAATCTAAAGTCCAGGGAGTGAAACAACTTTCCAAAGGGTCCACAGTCAGTAGCAGCTCTGGACGGCTCACCCAAATGGATCCAGGTGGCATGGTTGGCCTCTGATCAGTATTTAGAAGTGAAAGACCTTAGAACATTCATTTTTATTACCTCTGAACTACCCAGGAGGACACACTGATAAGACTTCTGTAAACAAACACAGCCTCTGTGTTTATAAGGATGGTTCCAACATGAACTAATTTAAATAGAACACGTCTAACTCTCTAGTCCCAAGACACCTACCCATTCAATTCAACAAATAACCCTGGAGTGCCTGCAGGATTTTTGCCAGACACTAACAGAAATAATCACGAAGACAGTTACTGCCCTCCAGGCACTTCCAATCTAGCCAGACGTATCAACAAGACCACAAAACTTCACAAACAGAAGAACCAGTTGCCTGTTTAATTCCTTTTACTCATTTTATTTAAACAAACAAAACAATAGCATGAGGAAAGGAAGACCAACCTTTTTCCCAATATGGAAAGGACATATTTTATTGTCTTTACCTGAAACCCACACAAATGATTATGACTCTAAATCAGCATTTTTTTTCTTTCTTTTTTTTTTTTTTAGCATTTTTTTCAAACTGCAAGTCACAACCTGATAATGGGTTAAAAGATCAACTTAGACGATCTCAACCAACACTGTTTTTTTATTTTTTGTTTGTTTTCTTTTAAATAAAAGGGCAAAATTTAAAAAAATCAGAGCACATCCTAAATAGTAAAGCTAAGTACTGTTTTCTGAAGCTTTGTGTGTTTGTATGGACTCTTCGTCACCATGTAAAATGTATTCGCTACTGTATGTCACAGTGCAAAAAGTCTGAAAGCCACTGTTCTGAATAATTTATATCATCTTACTATCCCCAGTCCTGAGTTCAAAAGGTACTTAATGTATTTGCTAAATGAACAGCTATTGCATTTAGAATAATTGCTCATCAATTAGCAACTTTCCCGGTGGCATCTGTGTGCCCCTCTTTGATAATGCCACTGCTTTCTTTCTATTTCCAGCAGATTGTAATTCTCTTCACTGTATCTTCCACACTGGCAAATGACCTGGCTCAAAGAAGATGCCCTGAGATGCAGAGAATCACATCTATCCACTTCTCCCCACCACATCCTTAATCTAAGCTACCATGTCCCTCAGCCAGATTGCCCCTCCAATCCCTTCTCCATCCAAAAGCCGGAGTGACCTTCTCAAACCGCCAGTCTAAGCATGTCACCACCCACACTTAATATCCTCTGAGAGGCTTCTCACATGGCTCTTGGCAAACCAAAATTCCCACTGTGACCTACAAGGCCTGTATGGCCTGGTCCGTGGAAACGCCTCCAGCTTGTCTCATACCATGCTTCCTCCACAAGCTCTGCTGCAGCCACACTGACCTCTTTCAGACCCTCAAACAGAGGCTCCCCTAATAGAAAACTCTTCCCTCCTCTGTCTCAAATCATTTTTCTGATCTCTGCTCAATATTTACCTCTTCAGCAACGCTTCCTTGACCTGGGGCTAAGTCAGATCTCCTGCGATGTGCTCTCAAAGTGCCTTTTATCTTTCCATTTCACTGATAACAGCCGCAAGTTTGCAAATATTAATAGAGGGCTGTCACCTCCAGGAGATGCGGGTCTTTAGTACCTCTAGCACATATTAGACGCTTGCCAAACATCTGTTTAACAAAAGCACGATATCCATTTTGTAGATAAGAAACAAAGGCTCGGTTCGCGGAAAAGACCTTACCGAAGTTAGAGTAAATCAGAACCACGTCAGGCGGAGCCAAGGCCTCCGAGCCCATAAGTTCTAAAGTTAGGAAAAAAGAAGTTTTCCAGGTGCCCCCAGGAAGTTCTGGCGACGCCGTATCTGACGGTTGCTCGGCGAGCAAGTAACAATAACCCACCTGAAAGAGGGAGGTGGGTCCCACCACCGGCTCAAGACCGGGACGCCACAGTCCCCGCTCGGTGCCCGAGTTCAGGCCCTCCGCGATCCCCAGCCGAGAAGAGGAGTGGCCGGACCACACAGACAACGAAAGCAGAACAGTTAAAACAGGACAGGAAGCTGCACTCACCGACCGGTATCTCGCCCAGGTCCAGGAACCGCAGAAGCGCACCGGAAGTTCTCCCTCTTTGGCGCCGGACGGGAGCAACAGGGGAAAGGGGCCGGGCGAGTCCCTGGGTCGCGGAAGAAACGGCCCGCGCCAGCAGGTTCCGCCCCATCGAACGTTGCCTTTTGCTACTTTGAGTTACTGGATGTAGTTCTTGAACCCGTGGATAATAACTTTCATCAAACGATGCATTTTATGTCCCGGTCCAGAAACACATCCGCCAGCCACGGCTTTTCGGTCTCAATCAGTCATGGTCTCTGAGGTTCGGGTCAAGGTCCTAGCTGTTGAGGAGCCACAGTCGGAGGCTCAGTCATAGTCCTGGTCAGCCGATCTCAATCCGAGTGAGTGTCCCAGTTGGCCCTTTATCAACCTGGTCTTAGCTTCCAGCCATACTCAGCTGTAGGGGAGAGCTTCAGAAACCCAGGCCAGAGAGACCCAGTCTAACAGGAGCAGTCACCACATTGGTCCTTCCAGCCATAAACACCCAGTCTCTTCCGGCAGTGCAGGCCTAGTATGAAATCTCAGTCAGGCTGTATATATGCACCTTGAGGCAAGGAACCTCTCTTGTTCTCCACTGTTTTTCTGGAATCCAGCACAAGGACCCAGTTCAACACATATATTATGCATTTAATTAATGACAGGGCTTCTTTATTCATTAACGACTTCTGTTTTGGAGCCTAGCCCTGTGCTGGGTGGTTGTATTAGTCGGGGTTCAGTCAAAGAAGCAGAGCCAGTAGGAGGTATTTAAGAGCTTTATTACAAGGAATTGGCTTATGTGATTCTGAGGGCTGCCTAAGGAAATACAAAATCCAGAGGGCAGGCCCCTTGGGTATATGAGTTCTAATCCTTGCACTCACCCTAGTAAGCAGACTCAGTATTCCCAACACGCAGAAGAGAAAACTGAGGCCCAGAGCAGTTGCACAGCCAGAGGGAGGCCAGGCTAGGATGCAAACCAAGGTCTGACTGGTGACTGGCTGTTCTTGTCTCTGTGCTGCTGCTCCTTAGCTTGCCTGTCACACTTCCTCAGTGACAGCTGGACATGCCCATCTGTCTCAGTCAAAATTCATCTCGTAGTGGGTTGCAGACTAGACCGGGCCCTGCAGTCATGGTTGATCACAACGAGCTGCCGCAGGATTAGCCAGAGATGGCCTCCATCAGTCACAGTCATGCGCGTCAATCTCAGCCTGTCATGTCAGTTCCATTTCCTGCATGAAGCAGCTCAGCTCCCTCCCCACCCTCCCCATTCCTGGTCTTGGGCACTGAGCACCATGGTCTCTTTTCGTGATGAGCTCCCTGTTCCAATTGAACTCACCATCTTCTGAGACTCCAGGGCACTGAACTCCGGGCAGAGGCACCGTAGATGGTAGCCCAGGAATCCCACGTGGTGGGTTGCATGTCCGTTCAAATCAGGTTTCTCAGCCTTGATACTATTGAGATTTGGAGCCAAATAATTCTTTGTTGCAGGGCAGCTGTCCTCTTGTGTTGTAGGATGTTTAGCAGCATTGCTGTTTTCTACCCACTATATATTAGCAGCATCCCTCAGTTGTGACAACCAGAAGTATTTCCAGACATTGCTAAATGTTCCCTGGGTGACAAAATCACACATACCCCCGAGTTAGGAATCACTGATCTAAATGAATCAGCCTTGCTATTCCTTAACAGCTCAGAGACTGACCCTGTATTTATGGGAGACAGAGACACAGATCCAAGGTGTGTGGGCACCCAGTGTTTGCAAACGATGTCCTACTCCAGGATCCCAGGAATGACAGATAACTAAAGGAAACCTACAGGGAAAATACGGGGAAAGATTCACAATTGCTTCTGACAATGGACAGGAGTTTGGAGAGAGCAGAAGAATTGCTTTTCATAGCACAGCATTTTATATCATTTAATGAATTACCTTCAAAAAGAAAAGACACAGGACTTCCCTGGTGGACCAGTGGTTAAGAC